TGGTCATTTTCAGGGGGACTCGAAGGGCTACGGTAGACCACACCGAGAAGGAGAGAATCGGACCCGCGCAGCGGGATTTGGACTCACAGTGCATCGCAAAATGGTGCAGGGGTGGTGTTATACGTGGGTTTCCCTTCTGTCCCACACTGCCCTTCAAGCAGAAAGCGGTCGCATCACTTCTTCCTGGTGATTTACGGTATCGTGGTCCGCTTTCATATAATCCACTTCCAGGTTTCTGATTCAAAGTGATTCTGCATTTTTTGGAATGCCAGCTCATCTTCTGTCTGTTATAGTTATCCTTCTGAGAAACAGACGGGATTCCAACTAAAGCAAACGCCAAATCCCTTTGGGAAAACTAAGTCCGTTCGAGCGCACGCTGGTTTCTCTGCGAAGAACGCCACGTCATTTTTGTGAATTTTCTTGACAGTGATTTCGTAGGCGTGAGCTAGTCCCAGTCTAAGTTGGTCAAGTAAGATACGCATTTCGTAGAAATCTGCAGGTCAGAGGTTAAGAATCCATCTTTGAATTTCCGTGTTCCCGGCCCAGAAGCAGATGAACTCAGTCAGCACACGGTGGTCACGAAGTACCAGTGTAATTTCAATTATTGCCTGATAAATGAAGTACGTTTTGTTGGAGGTAAACAAATCCTATGGGAATGGTATTGGGCCAGCTCGGTAATGGTTGGGCGCGCGACCTGCTGAGTCCAAACGCTTTGTTAGACGACTTTGGTCAGCGTCGATGCAACGTATCCACTAGACCCGAAGCGCTAGAACTTCATCCACGAGGTCTTCAGAGCGTTAAAATCATCTAAATGGAAGAGACTCATGAAGTGGTTGCTGAGTGAGAGTTGCTTGTTCGTAAGGGAAACCGGTCACCCTTCGTTGGACTTAGGGTACATGAAAGACTACGCCGAGAAGACAATCAGTCCAACGTGTCGGAATTAGAATCCACACTTCGTTGGACTTAGGGTACATGAAAGACTTCGCCAAGAAGACAATCAGTCCAACGTGTCTGAATTTGAATCCACAGTGCTCCACAAAATGTGCAGGGATTGTGTCGTTGAGTACAGTTGGAATGAGCAGCACCGCTTGCGAGCATATAGCACCCTCCACTTGCTCTCCTGCGTTTCCAGTCAGCCCGAGAATGGAAGTAGCCATTTATCGAGATCTTCGCGTGGTAGACCTCCGATGTGAACCAGCTTTCTGTGGGTGAGATTATGGACGACAATTTGGTCAAGCTGACTCTTTGATATCTCAAAATTTGCTGAAAGACTGAAACAGTTTGTGGATAAACACTTCTGCGTCCGAAGGTTAGGAGCCAAGAGCTGTGCAACCAGGGAGGATGGTAGATTTTATGCCTGTATGCCGGGTTTGAGTCCGCTTCTCCGAAGGGCCTCTGTGGCGTACTTGTCTTCTTCCTGTCTTGATATTACGAAGAGCTGCTGTTTAGTTGCAGGGAATTTTGCCCCTTGGGATATTGGTTTGAGCATGCTGTTTGCCTTTGGGGGAAGTATTTATTCCTCGTGGTCCAAGATTTTGATGTGCACAGCATGTAGCCAATGCAATATCACCTGGATTCTTGAATTCGCTGCTTTTCAAATACTTGGGGTGAACATGTGATGGCTGCTTTCCTATGCTTTCTGGCACGGATCGGCCTTGTCCGAATAGGGACGGTTGTTTTGTTGGCAAACCTCTTCGCCAATCCTGCTTTTAGTCCATTTAAACAACAGTACAACAGTTGTACATCTTTTGATAATCTATACAGAGTAACGTATAAGCTGCTGGAGCAGGTTCTAGAGTGCTTGCTTTTCTAAAATCAGGTCTAATGCCGAGGCAAGCTGCTGCGCGGAGCGATGGTGATGGGCACCCAAGGCATGTGGGCGTGCAGCTGTGTAGAGGTTATGTTCCAGTGGGCATCTACCTAAGTTGTTATATTTGATGATTTCCATACAACCTGGTGGAGGAGCCCACTCTGAACGGCTGACAGAGGGTTGGTATGGGATAAATAGCGAAATCCTAAAGAGTTGGATCATCTTGACATCATACTGACCTGAATTATGCTGAAACCGTCTGGTTGTTTTTTTGCTATTAGAGGAACAAGCAAAAATTGTTGTAACAGAATGTGAACAGGGAACTTATTCCCTTTGCTCGTGTCAAGCACGTGTAATTGGCCGATAGCCAAGCAAATATGAGTGTCCGACGCAGTCCTCAAATCATACTAGAGTAGGTAGGTTGCCAGCGCACCCTACGGAAATTTTTCACCTTGCCACAGAACGAAATGTCGGCCATCAATAAGCGGGACAATGCCGTCAATGGAATGCCTCTGGAATGTAGCAAGGACGAAATAAACAGTGGACTGCGTGTGTGGGTATAGTGTTCTGTGTTGGTTAATCGCACATTGGGTGGAGTGTGTGGAAAAAGGGCTTTTGACGGCATATAAAAATGTGGCGCTTAGGTCATAGTTATGATGCCGTCTGGGTCGTGTGATGGGTCTTTTGCAGAGCACTCGAAACACCATCAGTGGAGTTTTGTCGCCGTGCATCCATTAAGTACTAGCCTACTGAGTTACTCATCACTGACATGTTTCTGGGTCTGTCCACAAAATATTGTTATTCTGTGACTGAGTTGGCGTGACGTGCGTCCAAAATATTCTGAAGGAAAGCCCAAACCGAAAGATCACATCGCATATTTTGCCAGTGAAGGGGTACTTGGTTCTCAGGTTGCAAGATTATAACCATCGCGTCGCGAAACAAACGTGAAGCTTTTAGGCAGAGAAATTTCTGTATACAGCTGTTCATGAAGTGCGGCTGAGCTGTTGTGTCCACCGATGGCCCAAGCATGTTAGGTTTTAGTGTATAGGCTTTTTCCCTCTTACTGTTTTGGTTATATTCTGCGCGATTACCTTAGAATTTGGAAAGCCAAATTTTCTCCAAATATTTCCTAATAGTTTACTTTTCTGCTTTACCACTTCGCAACAGTAAACTTCAACCGCTGGACTCGGCGAACTGGGACCAAGGGTTGCGTTCTTATTGGACATTATGAGGCCGATTAAAACGGTGAACTCCCCTATAACTTGGAGCTTCTGTAAACATTAAGAATCACAACCATTAGGTTTAAACAATCACGCAGCTTTTCTTTTGAAGTGAAATCAAGTAGGAGTTGACTTTCCTAAGATAATGCTTCCTCCTTCTTTGTTAAAGAAGTCAAATATATTGCAAATGTGCCAATGTTGATGATGAACTGGGACTATGGAACGCTTTATAGGTCTTGTTCTGAGTCGTTTAATGAAAAATCATTGTGCCATTCTCCGGCAGGAGAGAATTTGTAGTATGTCCAGTAATTTGAACTTCCGAGTACAAGTTGTAAGCTAATATTGCAGCTAATCAGGAGTTTTAATAATAAATGACTGGTTCCCCGGTCAAACTAATCCACTTCTGGGTGCTCGCTTCTCTAGATGAGACCAAACAATTTTTGGGTTTTGTGTGGCAACCAAATGATACTTATTTTTACTATTCACTGTTTAAAAAGTTCTTTTACATCGGTTTTCGTCCACACAACGTAAATTGAACACAAGGCCCTACAATAGCTCACAATGCCCACTTTTCGTGTAGAAAAAGTGGGAAGTGTAGGAAATTAATTTTAACTTGAATTTTTTTTGTAAATAAAGCCATTCAAAGTTGAAAAGCCGAAAATACCGTATTGTTGTTTCAGGCTTTTTGGGAATGATCGACACTGCGCATCTCACGAAACTCCAGCGAGTTTCAGGCCCGCCAGATGAACAGCGTAATTAACTCGTGCTATTTGCCTCCATTTATTTCAAGCATCAGTGTAGCTTCATCTTTAGCTAGCTTTAGCGATTTCCATAAGTTGTGCGGCGTCTCTTGATGTTTTTTGACCAAGCTGAACAATGCTACTAACGCATTTGGGGAGTAGAAAGATGTTCCTGCGTAATATGATCATCCAAGTACCTGGAGAATTACAGTTTTTTTCGGTTGTTTGTGAGAGGCACTGTAGGTTGCCTAGTAATCCAGCGACAGAGATCACGAGACCTGAACACGTAGACCACCATTAGAAGTCCTAAAGTGGACACCCGTTGGTCGTGGTTGGGCCACAGCGCTGCGGTATTCCATGGTTAATAATTCGGTTCCTTGAGGTTCATGTCAAGAGATCCAAAGTGAATCATCCTAGCGTGAATCAGCGAGTTCCCGTGCTTCGAAAATACTTTGCTTCTGAGATCCTGCGCACTCCAGTCACATTGTGACCGGTAGATCGTCCGGTCCTGATGTAAGGGTACTAGATGAGCAGATGCGCATCTGAAGTAAGAGTCCGCACAATTATTCATGGCGATTCTGCTCAAAACAGCCTTCACTGTTGTGTGATCCAAACGATGCACTCAAGTTGAAATCTGTATTTTCCGGAAGGACCACCTCCAACGAGCACGGAGTTTTCCACTGACCAAAATGAACCAAGCGGCATAAGTTATTAGATTCGAAATAAAAAACTCATTTGCATATGTTTTTCCAAAAATGGCCCTTTGAACCCTCTTAAGCTTTCCTTACGTATTGAACAATAATTAACGGATACCACGAATCGGTTCCGTAGTTTTCGCATCAAATTTCCATCAGACGCAGGGATGGTAATTTAACACCTAAACAGTGGTTAGTCGCATGATTCATCAGCAATGTATGTTGTCACACCAAGAAACTCTTAGGAAGGGATGGGTGGGTTGAGCCTGAATATAGAATGGTGCTCAGCGAAAACCACCAGACTACTTAATGGAGGATGGAATAGACAGATTGCGACAGTTCTTACGAGTGTTAGCGCTAGGGAGTTTAGCGTCTTATCAGAACACGTGGATCGTAAGAAAGAAGGAAAAACGTACCGACCAAACTTCGGCAACTGGGAGACGTTGATCACGCTATTCTAGTCGAAAGCATGGCTTGTCATGCTTATCAGTGCCAATACCTTACAGTTTGAAGATACAGTTTGAAAATTCGATGACCATGAATCTGATCTTTGTGTTCATCGCCCGTTGGACTGTTTCGAATCTCCAGCCGGCAAAGGTTAGGAGCTCAGGAGAAAAATAGCAAGGTCATCAAAGATAATCAATGAATCATAACTGGGAATGATTACTAATGACTTGTTCAGCTTTAGAACATTCAATAGCAAACAATTAGTTCATGTTAGGAGTAGCACCGTGTGGACCCTTCCAAAGTGTGTACACTTGAACTTAATCGGCTGTCATGGTGTCAGCTAGATGACACTAATGTATTAATCGCAAGATGAAGCTGCCTGAAAAATGCATCGTGCAATATTGAGTACCAGCCTGCGAATAGCTGCCTATCTATGGATCAGGAAGCAAGCCTATGAAACAGTATGAAAGAAAATCGAAAAAATCAGGAAGGTGTACCGGGATGTAACGGAGCCACCATATGAAGACCGTTTGATAATCAGGCCCTCATCCAATGAGCTAGAAGGACACA